CCACTTAAAATTTCATTAATTGACTGCCAGGTGAAATTAACCAAATTTTAAAGTTGTAAGAGGCAGCATGGTCAAGTGGACAGAGGGGTCTACTGGGACCCAGGAGACCTGGGTTCAAATTTCTGCTCAGCCATGGAAACTCACTGGATGGGGAGGTGGAACTGGTAAAACAACTGCTTAAATATCTCACATACCTTGAACATCATATCAGAATTGCTATATGTCAGGCGCAACTTGACAGAACAAAACACAGTGACCCACATGTGGTTTACATGTAAATCTGACACCTTTCAGGCTGATATTTTGCTTCCCTGTTGGCTTAGGTTAAATGACCTTTTAACTGTCTTAATCTTGATACAAATGTTATACTGTTAAAGTCACTTTCAGCATCTGTTCTAGAGTTGGTATACATGTGTGGGGAGGAAAAAGATGGTTTAAACACAGTTGTGCCTGGTTTTTAATCGACTGATGAGCAGAGAGATACATATATAATAATCACATTTCATCCATTTTGAACTGTGTCACCTGTGAATGGAGACACAATCTGAATGAAAACTATTTTCAGTCTTTGCTACCAAAACGGCTTTATGTCTAACCCCACCTTCTTTTAGGAAAAAACAGTATATCCTTCTGTACATGATTAGCAGGCTCTTTTATTTAATTATTTATTTTTAATAAGAAAGTGACCTGGCATCCATAAGATTAGCAAAATTATCCCTCAACTTTATCAGTTGCACTGTGCATATGGTGGAGGAAATGGCAACAAGTAGGCAATGCAGAAAAGTGTTCCCCTATGTAAGCCACATAGATACATCAGATAAGCCATGCGTTTGAAATTGCCTGTTATAGGAAACTGAAGACCACTGGATGAGGTAGCAAAAGTGTATAACTAAGGTACTTATCACTCTTGTTTTGCAAAGATTTTAGGCAAGCTATCTAATTTAAAACAGCACAAGATTTGGTTCAGATGCTAGATAATAGATACTAATGAGAAAACATTGTAACAGTAACAATCTAAACTAGTAGATATATTTCAAAATAAACAAACTATCTGATTCATATCATCTGGCAGCCACTTCCTAAAACTGGTGTTTGCCCCTGCCTGTGGCAGCGAGTTATCACATAAAGCTGTCATTTCATGTTTCTCTTTTAAAAGGGAACTATTATCTGTGTAAGAAACAATGAATAATAACGTTAGGGCAAAAAAGAAAAGAAAGAAAAGAAAAGAAAAATAAAAAATAAAGGGGGTATCAAAATAATAATATAGCTGCCCAGAAGAGACTTTTAAATTTACCTGATTTCTACCATGTAAAATATAAATGTATCACTTAATTCCGAAAAAGACTTTTAAGAATGATGGAGAACATTACGAACAAAAATTAGAATACTGTAATGTCCTGCACACATACATACGAAACTGAAAAGCTTATCAATTCTTAATTAACATATTTTTAAATGAATTTTTAAAAAAATCTGATCCATTGCTGAGAAACCAGGAAGGCATTTCTCCATGCCTATTCATATGAGTCTTCAAAAGCATCTACCCAAAAGAGAGTATTTTCCTCAAGTTTAATTCTTTAAGGGTTTCCACTTCTTTGATGCTCTCACTCTCTGAACTGCTGCAGCCTTCAAGACCTGTCTATGGTAAATCTTAGGTTAGAATGACACTAATCTCCATTGCTCATTTGACTCCTGTAGTCTGCATACAGTGGACCCTCTACTTACGGAATTAATCCGTATTGGAACGGTGGCTGCAAGTCGAAAAGTCTGTAGGTCGAATCTCCATTGACGTAAAATGCATTGAAAACCGATTAATCCCATAACTGGCAGTTTTTATTCTATTTTTGTTCCATTTTGGTTTTTTTCTGGTCTGTAAGTTGATTCTCCGGCTGCAAGTCGAATCTAAATTTTGCGGCCAGAGAAGTCTGTAACTCGAAAAGTCTGTAAGTCGAGCCGTCTGTAAGTCGAGGGTCCACTGTACCTGCTTTCTCTCTACAATCCTAAGTAACAAGAACCCTTTCAGTGTAAGTAGAGCTGGCAAGCAATCAGAGATTACACAGAGTTCTCCACACCACAGTATTCCTATGATAGATGGCACACGCTAATAGGTGGCATACACCATCACCCATTTAAAATCATAATTTTTGATGATCAGTCTGTTTTTTGCAACAATCTCAAACTGATGTAAAGTCTTAACACCAACAAAATTAGGCCCACACCAAACAAAAACATCATTTCTGTAGAGACAGAAGCTGAAAAACAATGCAAGGAATGCAACTGACATGTTGAGATATTTCTTGACACAATAAACAATGGAAGAGAGAGGTTTTGAAATAAATGAAAAACATATTTATTGGCATGGGGTGAAACTTATCATCTACTGCCGTCTTGTGCACATTAATTAGACATATATTGATTGGGGTACTATGCTTGACAAAATATGCCAGAAACAGGTAGTATAAGACTTATTGTTGTTTAGTCTCTATATATGAAAGCTCAGGAATCACAATGAAAATGGAATGGCAGTTAAGAGTTTGTATTAGTACAGCAGCAAGCAAGCAATGCTATAAAGAATGCAAACAACAACAGAATTGATATTGGTCAATTATACCTACTTTCTGACTTGCCATTTAGACCACTACTCTCTGATGTGCAACAAGTTTAGAAGAAAGAATTAGAAATGAACTTTAGATGTCTATGTTGTCACCTATTACCAGAATCTGTCTAATTATGGATTAAGCCCAGGTGGTTCCACCAGCAATTAAAAAGAGAGAGAGAAAAAATACATAAATAGTTGCTGATGTGTAGTTTGCCAGTCCAGCTGTCTTGACTAGCTATGTAGTTCCGCTTTAGAAGTATTATTGAGAACTGCCGGGCTTTACTGCCCACCGAGACTGTTTGGCCCTAATCCAATGCCAAAAATGAGGGCAGAGAACATATGACCATGTCTGGATCTGCAGATTGAGAGAAAAGCCAGCTGCTGGGGGCACAGAAGAAAGGGAACCTGAAAATACACAAACTGGCTTTTATGTACACTGTGCTCCCTGGCTGCAATCCTAAATTTACTTGATGGCACATCCATCGGAATGAAATCAATTGAGGTTGCCTGAGAACACTTGTGACCAGGATAACACCCTCTACTGTATGCCCTCTTTCAGAAGAATGCACCCTCATGGGCAGGGTAAAGAAATGGGGCAATCAAATGCTGCCTGGTCACATTCCTTTCTCTGCTCTGATAGCTCTAGTTATTTTGAAGCTAGGAGGTCTAAGCAGGTGTGCAGCTTTCCACTGTATTCATAGCTCCATGGATTAAGGCAAAGAACGCTGAGTCTCAAACTAAATGTAAATACAGTACTCTCTTAGCTCTACCATATAACTAGAATAATTTGCATAAATTATACTTTATTCATACCCCCAAAGGCTCTCAATCTTGAATCCATCCCAAAATAATGCTGTTTTTATAAGTACAAGTCCATACACTTTTAACTGTGTATCTCTGTTCTGTCTGGAGATAACAGAACACACTGAATGTAAAACAACCCCTTTTACATACGAAGATTTAATGTTAGGATGATGTTAGACTCATGAGCCAAATCTGAAAAGGAACTGTATGCCATGTTGCAAAAAAATAAATAAAAATAAACAAAGAACTAATGTCTATTACAGAAAGACAACTACAGTGTTTCTGCAGCTGGTAGTGGAGGAGGCATACTGTACTGCAAACAATAACAAACAGTGTGTGTCTACAGCTGCAACAATTACTACACTTTTTTGACTTGCTTTTTCCTCTCTTTGTGGACTTCAGAGGAAATAGAGGAAGTGAGAAGATGAGACAGCATAATATAACTAAAGCAGCCTGATAATTCAGTTCCTGATTAGAAGAAATTAGTGGTTATAGCGCATTTAGTAATCCATTAGTTGATAAACAGCATTTGTGAATTTAAACAGTCTGTGAACTAATACTTGGATACCATAAAATCACCCAACAAAATGCACAAATGGAGCAGCTGCATAGTGTTCTGGTTTCCTGTGGGACTAACTTTTCAGCCAAACCAAGAATTTACATTCATATTATCACGGGAAAAAAAACAGCCAAGAGGCCTCAACTCATGCTATTTGTGAGCGTTTTATGCTAACTCCTCTTATGCTAACTTCCACATACCTTTTTTTAAAAAGTCTGAAGCTGTTCTTACAAACCTTGTTATCTTATTGTTGTCATTTTTAACTGTGGAGTTTTAAGACTGTTTTAAATTCCATTGTTTTTGGCTCTTTGCCACCCAGTGGTTGCTTTCAAAGTAATAGGTGAGACATAAGCCATGAAAACTGATAAACAGCTCCGATAAAGGAGTTCATTCTTTTACAAGTTCACAGCATACAAAAAAAATATTTCTACAAGTCTATGCATAAAAGGTTTACAGTACTTTTACCCTCGACGGATAGGGATCAAATCCTGATCTCCGTATTCTCCTTTATCCACTGGGTGGAAAGAAAACTAATGTAACTCCCTTTTAAAAAAAAGGCCTAGAAACAGGAGAGCACCTCCAGGAGAGCACCTAATGGTGCAGCTAAAAAAAATTACTGTACCTAAATAAATAAATAAATAAATAAATAAATAAATAAATTTTAGAGCACGCAAAGCATTCCGTCCTCGGTGCTCCATCAACCCCTCTTAGGGCGGCAAAGGTGTGGGGCAGGAGAGAGAAGATAAAAAGTCAAGGGAAGCGCTCGCACTAGGGACCGAGGCAGAAGGAAGTCTCTTAGCCAAGGCACTCTCTTTTATTTTTCTGGGCCCTCTTGTCCGTCCTAGTGAGACATTTCGCCACTTATTTTAGAGTGGCAGAGTTAAAACTTTCTGTGAGGGGGCTGACCTCGACATCCCTCACCCAGAAACCGTGCTGGCGCCGGCTCACGGGCGAAAGCCCTCTGCTCATGCCCAGGAGCCCTCTGCTCGGGTCAACCACGGCACGAGTCAGGCAGCGTCGTCTCCCGGCCTCCCTTACCTGATGCAGGGTCTCGGCCGGGAGCTGCGACGCCCTGAACAACTCCGCCACTTTGCTCCCGGCGGCGGCGGCGGTGGAGGCGGTGGCGCTCGGCCCCGATCCCGGTTCGGGCGCAAAAGCCCTCTGCTCATGCCCAGGAGCCCTCTGCTCGGGTCAACCACGGCACGAGTCAGGCAGCGTCGTCTCCCGGCCTCCCTTACCTGATGCAGGGTCTCGGCCGGGAGCTGCGACGCCCTGAACAACTCCGCCACTTTGCTCCCGGCGGCGGCGGCGGTGGAGGCGGTGGCGCTCGGCCCCGATCCCGGTTCGGGCGCAGCTGGGCTCCGCTCCCGGAAACGCGGCTCCTCCTGCCGCCGGTCCAGAGGCGGTCGCCGCGGCCGGCAGCGGCTCCATGAGGGGGCGACGCCGCAGCGACTCCGGAGGGGAGCGCAAAAACCCCTCGGCGGAAGGAGGGAGGAGGAGGAGGAAGAAGAGCCGCCGCAGCGGAGAAGGTGCAACCCCGGCTGCTGCTGCTGCTGCTGCT